AATTCCCAAAAATAATATAAAATCTCGGTAGTACATATAACGTAGTTTACAATAGTGAAGTCCAGGAGCGGGGTTTCACACTAAGCCCTCTATATAAAATCTAAAAGGTAAACCTACAAAGCAAATTTTGAAACAAAAAAATAAAATGTAACACACACCGACCTAGAGTGTCCACCTGGACACCCCCTCATCGAGTTGTGATGACCAACACTTGGAAGGTGACGAAGTCATAAATTTCAGTGATGTGGAAAAGTACTCGTAAATTAAAACCTAAAGGTGACTAACATAAGAGTGCGCATGTGAGCAGAATTGATCACATTTCACACGTAATGTTAGAGTATAAGTAAAAGGTTTTTTTTAGCCAAAATGGTCCCTGAAATTTTCATAACACATCACTTTGGTCCCTAAGATTGAAAATCAATAGAAATGGTCCCTGATATTGTCCACCATCCATTATTTTGATCCTTCTGTTAAAAACTCTGTTAAGTGTCCCGAAGCTTTTGGCCGAAAGTTTGCGCAATTTTCAAAGCTTCGTAACTCAATCATTTCTTAACCAAATTCGACCCATAATATATCAAAATGAAAATAAGAAAGTGTAGAACAAGATTTATACCTATTTGGAAGCCTAATGGTTGCCAGAGATGGCCGAAAAATAGCCTGAAAGGTGACTAGTCCGCTGGAAAACTGGAAAACTCGTCGAAAACTGAGTAAAGTTTAAAAGTTCATAACTTCTTTAATACTCAACGAAATCGAGTGATTCAAAAATGAAAAGTATACTTCTTGATGATACGAAGAGAATGGTACCTTTCTTGATGGATAAATGACCGTGGTTTGACCGAAAAACAGCTCAAAACTGGTTGTTTTGGTCTCAAGGTAACCACTTTTGAGCCATTTTCCTGCTAAACCATGGCGAATTAGCTGTCAAGAATGTCCTTCTCTTCATCTCATTGAGAAGTATAATTTTCATTTTTGAATCACTCACTTTCGTTGAGTACTGAAGAAGTTATGAATGTTTAAAGTTTACCCAGTTTCCAGCGAGTTTTCCAGTTTTCTCGTGGACCAGTCACCTTTCAGGCTATTTTCCGATCATCTCTGGCAACCGTTGGGCTTCCAAATATGTATAATCTTGTTCTACACTTTCCTATCTTCATGTTGATATATTATGAGTCGAATTTGGTTAAGAAACGATTGAGTTACGAAGCTTTGAAAATTGTCCAAACTTCCTGCCAAGAGCTTAACGGAGTTTTTAACAGAAGAACCAAAATAATGGATGGTGGACAATCTCAGGGACCATTTCTATTGATTTTCAATCTCAGAGACCAAAGTGATGTGTTATGCAAATCTCAGGGACTATTTTGGCTAAAAAAACCTAAGTAAAATTGCAGTAAAAGTAGAGAACGTATATACCGTAAGGAGAAACCTCTTACAAGTCAATTTTTGCTAAAAAATCATCGTCGTCACAAGAGCTCTGCCACTAAATTCTGGAAGAACAAAAAACAAAGGTGGGTGGGCAGAAAAACAAAGCTTGTAAAAACCGATGTTTTAAAGTTGTAACTACACAAAGATATTATACTGGGGGTAAAACTCTCCGCATAGTGCAGTTATATCGAGAAGCTTAATTAGGAGCTACGGTCGTTTGTGATTACTTACTAATCTAGGCAGTTAGGCAAAGCCTTATTTCTGTTTCATTGCGTGATTCAAATAAAAAGTGACACGTCCTATACCAACCAACGTATATTTTGACTTTTTCTTGGCATAGTATAAAATAAAATGGACTAGGCAAATTTCCGACTTATATGGTGGAGTAGATACATTGTCCAAGAACGGCTGGGGTTGTTTACCAAAAAAAAAATAACGGCTGGGGTTCAAGTCGGCAGAAAAGCTCAAGTCCAAGTCAAGGTCAACGGTATATACAGTAAGCTGTTCTGATTTATATTCGGTAAGAAAATGAAATAACATGTTACTATATCTCTTTTTGTATTTAAAAATGAATCAGTTGATGACTTCATCATGGTAATTTATTTTTTCAAGAAAAAAAACTTATAAAGGCATTTTAACCTTCCTTGACTACAATCATGCAAGATAGAAACTTAATTGTACACTTGCCACAAGACTAACTAAACTAGCATGTAAGTATTCAGATTTGGTTCTTGATCTCTCTTCAGAATATGGTTTGAACTTTCAAGGGTAAAGATTGATAGAATTTCCAAAAAAAAAAGATTGATAGAATTCGTCAATGCCACTTTGTAATTGTCTCAGGCCAATGACTTTTCTGGTCATATCTTATCTCAATCTTACCGCCCAATATCTTTATTGGAGCATGCATTTCTTTACAATATGAACAACAATTATTTTTTGTTCCTGTTAGGTAGCGTTTTTTTTATATATATTTTATTTTTTTAGTGCTGCTAGGGTTTAGAAGAAATGTTGCTCGGGCTAAAGTTCAAATTATCCATGGGTTGCAAGTCTTCAATGAGGCTGATCATGACGAATTGGCTTGTAGAACACGCATATACATGGGTAAATGCTAGTAGAACAGCTATATAAGATTCATTAATAATCTAGATGGAAGATAATGATGATTGTATTAATAAGAAAAAAAAGGTAAGTGCTAGTAGAAAACATACATATATGTAAATACAAATTCGGCTCACAAAATTACCATACGTAATATTACTGTTTTATAAATACTTGTTCAAACCCATCGAACGCTATCGAAGTTGGAAAAAAATAAATATACACACAAGTAAATGCTTCTATGGGTAATAAAAGAGGTAATTTCTTTCATATTATCACTAAACGATCAATTTTTCTTTTCATTAACTAATAAAAAAAACTACTTGTGCAAAAGAATTCTTGAGCGAAGAAATGTATTTTGTCACACGATGCGTTTTTGTGTGATGAAAAAATGAACTTCGCTATGCTCAAACTTCAAAAAATAAAACTCTTGCGCGATGACATTGTATCTTTGCGCAAGGAACCCTTAGTCGCTCAAGGGCTAGTTGCCCAACTGTCCTTTCTGTCACACAAAACCCCAAATGTTTTGTGGTAAACTAGGGTTTGGCTCCACCATTTGTGCGACGATAATGTACGTAGTGCGAGAAAATATTTGTAAGGTTCTAAAAAACGTTAAACGCTAATCGGGCGGCGAGTTGAGGTTAGCGCCTAGACGGCAAAGCGGGAGCTTAGGCGGTCTAGGTGGATTTAAATATATATATGTTATATGAATAAGTATCTACTTATACAAAAACATACAATTGTATTACAACAACAACAACAACAACAACAAAGCCTTTTCCCACTAAGTGGGGTCGGCTATATGAATCCTAGAACACCATTGCGCTCGGTTTTGTGTCATGTCCTCCGTTAGATCCAAGTACTCTAAGTCTTTTCTTAGGGTCTCTTCCAAAGTTTTCCTAGGTCTTCCTCTACCCCTTCGGCCCCGAACCTCTGTTCCGTAGTCACATCTTCGAACCGGAGCGTCAGTAGGCCTTCTTTGCACATGTCCAAACCACCATAACCGATTTTCTCTCATCTTTCCTTCAACTTCGACTACTCCTACTTTACCTCGGATATCCTCATTCACAATCTTATCATTTCTCGTGTGCCCACACATCCCACGAAGCATCCTTATCTCCGCTACACCCATTTTGTGTACGTGTTGATGCTTCACCGCCCAACATTCTGTGCCATACAACATCGCTGGCCTTATTGCCGTCCTATAAAATTTTCCCTTGAGCTTCAGTGACCTACAAAAATATAAATTAGTTTTGTAACATTGCAAATTGCTTTGGTACACATCGGTAAAAGACCCTTGCAAATTGCATTAAGAAACCAAAAAGCCCACAGTACTACCCCAAAAAAGGCCTACCAACTGTAAAAAAAGGCATGCAAATTGCAAATTATTTTTATATCCAATTAAATTAAGTGAACTTTCGTGAAAAGAGTTTGGATTAAATTTATTTTAACCAAAAATCATGCTATAACTTTATTTAATTAAAAAGACTTAAATTTTAATGAAAACCCCTTAAACTTTAATAAAAGGACAAAAGAACTTAAATTTTAATGAAAAAGACATAATTTTAATATTAAAAAAAAAATTGGCACTCATGTCCCACTTGTCGTCACAAATACTATATGAAACTTAACGGTATTACAATGTTTATGAAACTTACTACACTGCTTATGAAACTTAACGGTACTATACTATTTATGAAATTTAACAGTATTACTGTTTATGAAATTTACTACACTGTTTATTTAATGGTACCACACTGTTTATGAAACTTATTACACTATTTATGAAACTTAATGGTACTATAATGTTTATGAAATTTAATGGTACCACACTGTTTATATAACTTACTACACTGTTTATGAAACTTAACGAGTGTTGGGCACACGTTTATATTTTATGTTTTTTTTTTTATCCTTTTCATTAAATAAAGTTATTAGATGGTTTTTTTTATTAAAATGCAAAGTTTTGAAGCCTTTTCATTAATTTTTCTTTTCATGCAAGTCCTCCACAAAGTCCTAGGCCTGCACCTAACAGCAACAGTGAAACACGACAAAAGAATTTAAAAATAAGTAAATGGGAAAATGGTGGGGACCATCTTAAAGGTAAAACCATGCAATTAAACAGACAAAAGGGCTTCATCTCCTCCCTCGCGCATGACGTGGGGCTCTGCAACAAAAAAAAATTCTTGATTTCAGTGTTCTCCATATACGCCCGCCTAGCTCCTCTCCAGCCTCGCCTAGACTAGCCTAGGCCTGCCTAGTCTCGCCCAGGCTTCGGCTTATTATGCTTTCCAATTTTGTGACTGATTAAGTCTTAATCACGACGATTACTGACCGTTCAGCGCCAGGCGCCACTAGACCGATTTTTTTAGAACACTGAATATTTGTCACGTAAGGTGGCTTTGTGCAATGAAAAACTAAATGTTGAAGTGCAAAGTTGAACTTAGATATGGAACTTCGGATTCCATAACCTCTTCAAGGGTCTCATTTGCATATAATGTATGGATGATCACAGGTATACTCAAAGGTAACACCTTCAGGGTGTAGTTCGACTGGTAGACTAAAGTACTATCAGAACAACACTTGAACTTCAATGCAAGGCAAAAACGAGTTTTCCTAAGATCCTTCATCTCAAATTTCGTCTTCAAGTACAAGGCAGTTTTCTATATATAAAAACAAATGCCCACTCACTGATACGTCGATGGATCGTAGCCTCCTAGCCTTGTTTGTCCTCATACCTCCTCAGGGTAAGTCTCACCTATATGTGAAATAACTTTACTAATTAATTAATTAGGACATACACTAAAAGGCTAGGAAAATCCCTCATAGTTTGCTCAAACGGAGGGTTTAAGTATACGAAAACATTCTACTCGATGTCACGGACCCGTGCATGTCAAGCACGCGCCGTCCGGAGGCCGGACACGCCTTCATGCGCCGCCAAGTTGCAGCCACATGCGCAGGCCACGTACCTGACAAACTGACAGAAACCCTAGGGAATATTCCGTCAGAGCTGACGGAATATTCTATTAAATTTAATGGTGTTACCTAACAGCGTCAAAATATTATTTTAACTTTAATGGAATATTCTCCTTCTTCTTCGATTGTCCTTCGCTGTCCTCCACTGCCAGCACCGCCATCTGGTTCGCTGGTTTCTGGAAAAAAAATTAAAACTTCATAACTTCTTCATTTCTCAACCATTTTCAACGTACTTTATATGGAAATGAAGCTCATGAAGAGGAGAACAAGTTTGTACCTTTCGAAAGTCCAAAGAGTGGACAGAAATGGATTGAAAAAGCCTCAAAACTCTAGGCCCTATTTTCGTCATCTCAAACCCGCATGTTCTCATGTTGGCTCAACTTCAAACCTAGGCTAGTGGCCACGAGGAGTTGCCTAGATGTCTCCAAACCTTCTAAAACCTTGCAACTCAAACGGAAAAGTCATGGAGGAACGTACACCCGAGTCGGAGCTCGGAGTTGCTCCAAGTTGGACACTCAAAACTCGATTACTTTAAGATCGGTTCGTACGGATGGACTCGTGAGGATGAGAGGAGCACGATGGTGGTGATTTTAGGTTCAATCTGTGTAGTTTGATGGTGAGTCTTGGTTGTTGCAAAGAAGAGAGGGAAGAAGAAGAGGAGAAAGAGAGAGAGAGAGAGAGAGAGAGAGAGTCTTCCAATTGTCAAAAAAAAAAAAAGATGAGCTGTTTGATTGGGTGAGAAATGTGGGAAAGTGATTGATTGGTTAGTGAGGGAGAATAGGGCACATGACAGATTTAAAGAGAGAAGGGGATAAGATTTGTACAAATTTGAAATCATAAGAAATCTAACACACCTTATCGAAAACAGTAGTTTCCAATACTGAATAATTAGCACGCACGTGTACAAATCTACCCATTGTTAATGCACTTTAACTAAACATAACGTTTTCGTTACAACTCCAATTCAGGTCTAACTCGCGCTCACGCATTCGTAACAACAAGTACTAATTAATTACGATATCGAGAAAAATAATTTAAAATCTGAATAACTACGTCCACATCAGGTTCCACTTTTGCCAAAAAAGGGCATAAACGTCATTTTACACACTCAGGGAGAAAATTACATGGAAAATTAAGGACAGGTCATCACATCAAAGACATTAAATTTGAAACTACAAGTTCAATTTAGTTCATGAACAGTTAGTTCATAAAAGAGAGTTTCTTGGAAGAACACAGAATGCAATATGTTGATTTAAGTGAAATGGATTTGAGTTGCTTCAGGAACTCAAGTGTGAGCGCTTCGGGACTACTAAAGGATGTCAACGGTTCAAAGAAGAAAATTAAATTATTGAATCGTTAATGTCCAAAAGTGATCTTCAGGTCGATAATTTTGGATTTCTTGTCAGATTAATTAATTCAATAGATCGAGACCATACGAGGTTGATCTCAGAAGCAAAATAATGACATGCTGGCCTTATTAGCTTCAAATGGCAATGGGACAAGTGACAAGTGAATTATAGCTTCATTAGCATTAACCAAAAACGTCCCAAAAATATTTGGGTATGGTTAAGAAGCAAGGGATGCCAAAATATGTCATCGGGTCGAAAAAATTAAAAAAAAATAACCACAGTGCAGCACGTTTGGGCTGGCTGGTGAGGTACAACTCTGCAGCAGGCCTTATGTTACATGAAATGGCTGCACAGTAGCCCAATTTAGCTGCAGGTCAGCAAGCCAGGGAAAGGAGGCAGAGCCCAGCAGCGCTAGGCTTGCTAGCAGAGGTGCGAAGGAAGCCCATTAGCTTCTGAGGGCAGACCAAGTCGCGAGAATCCCATCAAGGGTTGCTGGCTTAAGGAATGGATTGAGGGCTGAAGCCTATGCACTAGGGATCCAAGGGGTATGCCTGGTTCTAATTCAAGCAATGAACCCAGAAGGCAGCCCAATTGCTGACCCAAGCTTCAGGCTTGGATTGAGCTTAGCGCGAGCGCATGGCTCCAACACAGCTCAAGTGACCGGCTCGGCTTGGCAGCGCAAACCAGCCGAGTTTTCCCTTTTTTCAGATTTTTAATTTTTTTTTTCGATGTCTAGGGTTTGAAAAACCTTAATTGCTTCTAATTTTTTTTCGATTCTTTGACTCATAAATTCCACATAGTATAATTGTGTATTTCATGAACAAGTATATATATATATATATATATATATATATATATATTGACAAATATATGAAACATATACAATATATATATCGGAAGGTAAATATAAATGTAGGGGGTTCATGCATCATGGGGAATGTTTTCATGCTTCATGGTCGTTTCAAATATCTTCCTTTATTTTAAGCATACCTGATTGGCAGAAAACAACAAAAGCTTTTGAATTTGTAAAGGATCCTTTCGGAATGTCGAAATTGCATCTCCAATGCGTTGTATCACGTTCAACACAGAAAAATTAAATTGAATCAATAACATGTACATCAATTTAATAAAATAATAATTTAATCATAAAAAGAATGATTAAAACGTAATACTCCCCTGATTGAAGATCAAAACTATCTTTAGCGCAGCGTCAAGAGCATGCTGATAACGTGTTGTAGGCATAATTATTTGCAAAACCCTTAAAATTCACGGTAAACTAGGTTTTGGTGCCATCGTTGTGCAACAAAAATTTTAAAATGGAAGAAAACTGAAAAACTTGAAAAAATTCCCTTGTTGCCCAAAGCTTGAGCAACAGCAAGTGAGTGGTTCGTATTCCCTGGAACTAAGGTTTAGGGTGAGATGCATGCCAATTACAGCAACCAAGTTAGTGACAGCATTTATGTAAGTATTCCATTCTACGTTTCAAATTTAAATTTCATTACAATAAATAAATAAGGTTTAAACTATGATCGGTAGTCTTAAATGGTTTCTCTAGTTTTATTTTTTTAGACTTCTACGATGCAGAAGAAGAACGAGTATCTTGCCAACCTTTCCTAGCAATAACCGTATGTGCCAATAGAGGAGATGACACCTAATCTAAAGGTGTCTCTACAATTGTTGATGGACGAGCTTAGGCAACTGAAAGGCAAGAAACCCCACGGCCTATGAGTAGGTCAGTTCAAGACCTGGAGGTGTATTCTTCCTTAGCGAGCTCACATCCTTCGACCAAGACGTCTTCCAAACTTTAGTAGGTGGAGATGGAGCTAGCACACCAAAGAGAAGAAGCGCACCTGAGAGAAGAAGTTGCTCGTGAGAGAGAAGCTACTACGTGCGATCAAGAAGCAGTACACATGTACATTGCTTTGATAGCCCAAGCAATGTCAGCTTCTAACATTCGCATTCCCTAGCCCTCGAGCGACCTTTAGGTGCCATTCCCCCATCCACCTCAACACCCACCCGAGTAATTTAGGTTAATTAGTTTAGTTTGTTTTACAAAAGTATACGAACAATTTTATTTTGAACGCAATTAGATACATTTTAGCTTTTTAAATTAATATAATTAAAATTAAATAAATTATTTACTATAAATATTGCTTTAAAACCGAATTTAAAGAAAAAAATTAAAATGGTTTGCTTGACAAATATATTCGTCGAGCAAACTTTTGTTTTATTTTTTTTAGTTTTGGTTTTAAACAGTTGCCCGACGACAATGTCGTCGGGTCAAGTTTTTAATAGGGCGACTAATATAAGAGTACATATGTGAGCGGGATTAAACTCATTTCACACGTGATGTTAGAGCATAATAAAATTGCAATAAAAGTAGAGAACGTATATACCATAAGGAGAAACCTCTTACAAGTCAACTTTTGCTAGAAATCATCGTCGTCACAAGAACTCTACCACTAAATCCTAGAGGAACAAAAAAACAAAAATGAGTGGGCCGAAAAGAAAAGTTTTGTAAAAACCACTGTTTTCATAAAGTTGTAACTACACAAAAGATATTATACTGAGGATAAAGCTTGGCTTATTTATCTCCACATGGTGCAGTTCTATCGAGAAACTTAATTAGGAGCTACGGTCGTTTGTGATTACTAATTAATCTAGGCAGTTAGGCAAGCCTTAGTTCTGTTTCATTGTTTTCGTTGCGTGATTCAAATATAAAAAGTGACAGACGTCCTATACCAACATATATTATGACTTTTTCTTGGCATAATATAAAATAAAATGGACTACGCAAATTTGAAACATTATCTAAGAACAGCTGGGTTTTCAAGTCGGCAGAAAAGCTCAAGTCCAAGTCAAGGTCAATGCTATTATATAGTAAGCTGCCCTTATTTATATTTGGGAAGAAAATGAGTTAATATGTTAATATATCTCTTTCTGTATTTAAAAGCGGACCAGCCCATGGCTTGCCACGATAGTCCGTTCTTTTGGAAATCAAGAAGACTTACGGAGACATTTCAGTCTTTTTTTACCATCATTGTGCAAGATAGAAAATTAATTGTACACATGCCACAAGACTAACAACTAAACTAGCATGTAAGTATTCAGATTTGGTTCTTGATCTGTCTTCAGAATATGATTTGAACTTTCAAGGGTAAAAGATCGATAGAATTTGTCAAAGCCGCTTTGCCTCATGCCAATGACTTTTCTGTTCATAGTTTATCTCAAGCTTACTGCCCAATATCTATATTGGAGCCTGCATTTCTTTATTACAATATGAATCAAGAATTATTTTCTGTTCCTGTTAGGTAACCTTTTTTTATCATGACGAGTTGGCTTGTAGAACACGCATATACATAGGTAAATGCTAGTAGAACAACTACATAACATTCATTAATCATCTAGATGGAAGATAATGATGATTGTATTAATAAGAAGAAAAGAAGGTCAGTACTAGTAGAACAACATACATACATGTAAAACCAAATTCGGCTCACAAATTTACCATACGTCAGATTACTGTTTTATAAATATATGTCTAAACCCGTCGAACGCTATCGAAGCTGGAAAAAGAAAAATCTATACACACAAGTAAATGCTTCTATAGGTAATAGAAGAGGTAATTCTTTTCACATTATCACTATAAAAGATCCATTTTTCTTTTCATTCACTAGTAAAAAAACCTACTTGTGCGAAGAATCCTTGAGCATCGAAATGTATTTTGTCACGTGAGGTGTTTTTGCATGATGAGAAAATGAACTTTGTCATGCTCAAATTTTAAAAAATAAAACTCTTGCACGATGACATTTATCTTTGTGCGAGGAACCCTTAGTCGCTCAAGAACTATTTGCGTGATTGTCCTTTCAATCGCGCAAAACCCCAAATATTTTGCCGTAAACTAGGGTTTGGCTCCACCATTTGTGCGACGACAATATACTTAGTGCCAAAAAATATTTGTTGTGTAAGGCGGCTTTGCATGACGAAAAACTAATTTTGTTGCTAAGAAACCTTTACAAAAAATTGAAAACAAAATTGAGCCACAACATTATATCTTTGCGTGATGAATTGTTATTTGCAAAACCATTAAAATTCCTAGTAAACTAGGTTTTGGCACCACCGTTGCGCGATGAAAATTTTAAAATGGAAGAAAATTTAAAAACTTGAAAAAATGTCATTGTCGCGCAAAGCACTAGTAACAGCGGGTGAGTGGTTCATATTCCCCGGAATTGGAGGTTTAGGGTGAGATGCATGTCAATTATGGCAACCAAGTTGGGGACGACATTTATGTAAGTATTATGTTCTACGTTTTAAATTTAAACTTCATTACAATTAAAAAAAAGGTTTAAATTATGATCAGTAATCTTAAATGATTTCTCTTGTCTTTTTTTTTTTTAAGACTTCTACAACTCAAAAGAAGGATGAGTACCTCGCCAACCTCTCTAAGCAGCAACCGAACGTGCCTATGGAGGAGATGACACCTGATCTAAAGGTGTCTCTGCAGTTGCTGATGGATGAGGTTAGGCAACTAAAAGGCAAGAAACTCCGCGGCCTATGAGCAGGTCGATTCAAGACCCAGAGGTGTCTTCTTCTTTAGCGAGCTCGCATCCTTCGATCGAGATGTCTTCCAAACTTCAGTAGGTGGAGATGGAGCTAGCACGCCAAAGAGAAGAAGTTGAGCACCAAAGAGAAGAAGCAGCGCTCCTAAGAGAAGAAGTTGCTTGCAAGCGAGAAGCTGCTACGTACGACCAAGAAGCAATACACATGTACATTGCTGGGATATCCCAAGCAAGTCAACTTCTAGCATTCGCATTCCTAAGCCCTTCAGCGAACTTCAGGCGCCATTCACCCACCCGAGTAGTTTAGGTTAATTAGTTTAGTTTGTTTTACAAAATTGTACGAACAATTTTATTTTGAACGCAATTAAATAAATTTTAGCTTTTTAAATTAATATATTTAGAATTAAATAAATTATTTACTATAAATGTTGCTTTAAAACCGAATTTAAAAACAAAATTAAAAAGGTTTGCTCGACGAATATATTTGTCAAGCAAACTTTTGTTTTATTTATTTATTTTTTTTTTTGTTTAAATTTAAACAGTTGCCCAATGAAGATACCGTCAGGTCAAGTTTTTAATGGTGTTAAATTTGGTACGGAGCGACAAAATCACGCTCAGTCAAGATACTTTCGTTGGATAAATACGGTCTACACACTTTTACTCGACATAAAAGTCATCGAGCAAACTTAATTTTGCCCGACAAATTTCTATTTTCGTCGGATAAGGCTTCGAGAGACAGGTTTTGTGCGACCAACCTTTTCCAACAAACTTCCATCGTCTAAGGTTTTGGAGGAGGGAATCCACTTTTATCTGACAAATGTTTTCTGTCTAGCAAGGTGTTTTTTTGGTAGTGCTTACACATTTTCTTGTCTTTTTGTTGTTGGTTTTTATGTTTGTTTTGTATCAGGCTTTTGTTTTCTTGTTTTCATAGTTTTCTTCAAATATAAAGCAATCATAGTAAAATATAAAATAAAATGGGCAATTTTCCAACCTAGATATAAAATATATGGCGGGAACAAGGAAAAGGGGTGGTTGATTCTACGACCAGGTCTATCTATAACCAGCTGGTTTCAAGACGGCAAAAAAGCCCGAGTCCAAGTCAAGGTCAATGGTACATAGCAAGTTCCCTTATTATGAGTTGAGATCTTTTCCAGATCTCATTGTTCGGAATTCAAGGATCAAGAAATTTGAACTATTTAAATTGAAGACACTGCTTCGCTGCTGAAGGTTTCAACAGGAGCTCATTGAAACCTTCAGCAGCCAAGTCTTATAAGCCAAAGGTCCAGGGGTTGAGTCTTACAAGCCAAGTTTTGAAATTCCTTTCTTTCTGTGGAAGCAAAGTGCATACAAGCCAAAGGTCCAGGGGTTGAGTAAAATCGCAAAAGGACGCCGATTTAAATCTTTGGTTTGGTTCGATTCGCTTCGGTTTCTAAACTATCAAAACCGAACTAACCAATTTCAGTTCGGTTTTACAATTTCGTTTTGGTTTTTTTTTTTTTTTTCTGTTTTTCGTTTTAGTTTGGTTTTTTTCAATTTTCCAGATCCACCCTTACTAGGAAGCAATTTGGTGGTGATAGGTAAGATCATGTTTTTAGATCATATTTTGTAAACTATATGATGTGGCAATTGATGATTAAATACCTCTTTTAATGATTTAAATAAGTAATCCAATTATCAATTGTCACATCATGTTGACTACAAAATATGGTTTAAGTAGATAATCTCTCTAGCATCTACAAAGAAATGTTGAATGAAAAAAAAAAAAAAACTCAAAAGTTAATTAATATCTTTTAAAATAAATTTAAAACGTTGACGTTGAATATGGTGGTACACATAGCTCTCTATATAAACCATCCAAAGAATGGCACATTTGCACAGAACCCAGAAGTAAAAAAACCAAAGGCACTAGGTTAACTTAATTCACTAGTCACAAACCATGGTTCAATTTCACCATATTTGTTTCCTCTCCTTGCTCATAACACTAGCAGCAGGCTTCCTTCCTGGCACCCATGCAGTCGACTACAGCGTCACAAATACCGCCAGAGGAACCCCCGGCGGAATCCGCTTCAACAATGAAATCGGTGCAGACTACGGCAGGCAAACCCTAATCTCCGCGACGGACTTCATATGGAGCTTGTTCCAGCAAAAAACAACCGATGACAGAAAGAGTGTCTCCAAGGTCACCCTAATCGTTGAAAACATCACCGGGGTTGCGTACACCATCAACAACGAGATCCACGTCAGCGCCAGCTACATAGCTGGTTACTCCGGCAATGTGAAGAGTGAGATCACCGGTGTGCTTTACCATGAGTCAACGCACGTCTGGCAATGGAATGGGAACGGTAGAGCCCCGGGGGGGCTGATTGAGGGTATAGCTGATTACGTGAGGTTGAAGGCTGGGTACGCGCCAGGTCACTGGGTTAAGCCCGGGCAGGGGGATAGATGGGACCAGGGGTACGATGTCACTGCTAGGTTTCTGGACTATTTGAATAGTTTGAAAAATGGGTTTGTTGCTGAAATGAATAAGAAATTGAGGAGTGGTTATAGTGCTGATTATTTTGTTGATTTGCTGGGGAAGAATGTTGATCAGCTTTGGAGAGAGTACAAGGCCAAGTATGCAGGAAACTAAATTGTAGTGCTTCTGTAGCCAATAATTTAGAGTGCATTTTTGCTCAGCATCATTTAGTGCCCTATTTATCACCGTTAGATGAGTTTGAATTTTGAGATTTGTGTCTATCCATTACACGAATCTCGAAATTCAAAAATCATCTAACTGTGATAAATATGGTAGTGAGCATACACCACACTAAATAGTAGTGAGTAAAAATGCTCCCAATAATTTAAAGAAAGAGATCCTCTCCAGATCTATACATCGGCAGCCCATGGATCAAATGATCTTGGCTTTTAAAATTTTATCCTACTGCCAAAACTATTGTAACTTTCAAAAGTTTTCACTAACTTCTCTGCTTTTGGCCGTACGATCAAATTTTAAAGGTCATGATCATTTAGTCCCTGAACTCTGGAGATATAGATGCGGAAAGAATCTCTTCCCATAATTTAAAGCTGTCATGCAGCGCAAGGACTGATTTAAGTAAATAAAATGTTGTATTAATCTATTGATCATAAATAAATGGTTCCAATTCATTTGTACGATAGTATTATTTGTATATATTATCAGACTGTCAATTTGTATTCTACATTACTATTAAACTAAATAAAAATTTTGATATAATCAATAGTTTATAGTCGGACAACACATCGAGCCAAAATTTTAATAAAGAAAACATAATATTCTATGATATGACACTTATTTGAAGCCTTTTTTTTATAGGAAAAAAGATTTAATTAAACAGAAAAAGCCTCTAGTACAACCAATTCCCAAACAATTAAATCTAAAAGCATCCAAGGTCGAAGCAGGAAGGCAATAATCCCAAAAATATGGATTCGTCACTGATAGGCCCATGTGAGCTAATTTGTCCGCGACAAAATTTGCCTCCCTAAAATATGATGCCATCTAATGCATAGAAATCCCAACACTAGCCACTTGATGTCCTCAATGATCGATATAAGATGAGCTTGGAATCCCTCTCCACCACAAGCTTTCTCACACCTTTGTACCTGGCAAAAGAAATGCCCTCCTTTAAAGCAGTGGCTTCCGTGAGCGAGATGGTGGCCCTATCGAGATTGAAAGTACCAGCTCCAACAAGTTGTCCAGCCTCGTTCCTTAAAACAAATTCAGTAGCCGCTTTATTTAAACAAACCGAGCCATCAAAATTTAACTTCACAAAACCTTGGGGTGGAGACTTCCAATGAATGTTTGTTTGATTACATAGGTTGCTTTTGTTGTCCTTTTACAATTGGCCTCAAAATAATATAAACCCACTCTAGCAGCAATGGCAATACTTATAGCAGGATGAGGACTTATACTTCTGAAAATTTTATTATTCCTATCATTCCAAATTTGCCAACATTTCAGAAGAGCCTTATTAAGTTCACTCAGACCACTGCATTTATCATTGTTAATTAATTCTAACCAATCTAAAAAATCATTTGTATGACCAACATTACTCCATCGTGTATTTAAGGCAGATTGTTTCCAGACTTCTTTTGCAAAATTACAATTCCGAAAATGATGATTTTGTGTTTCTTCCTCCTTGCCACATAACGGGCAATCTTTGTTAGCATTTTGAATGAATTTACTCAATCTTACCTTAGTATGCAATTTTCCTTGAATAAGCAACCATGCAAAAAAATTTACCTTAGGGGGAATGATTAACCTCCACATCCTCTTAAGGAGCTTTTATGTCACATCCTGGCCCGAGTCCACCACATCCCGGGCCCGCTCTACCACCGTAGCACGATATTGTCCGCTTTGGGCTTACCATTCCCTCATGGTTTTGTTTTTGGGAACTCACGAGCAACTTCCCAGTGGGTCACCCATCCTGGGGGTGCTCTGGCCTCCTTCTCACTTAACTTCGGAGTTCCTACGGAATCCGAAGACAGTGAGCTCCCAAAAGGCCTTGTGATAGGTAGGGATGAGAATATACATTTAAGGATCATTCCCCTGAGCAATGTGGGATGTCACATTTTGTCTCTTCACTTCATGGCTTTGATTACTATGAATCCAAGTAGCTAATTTAATTGAGAACTCACCAGTTGATGAATGATCCCAAATGAAGTAATCTTCCTTATTCTGCAAGGGAATAGTTACCAAACAGATTTTTTTCACAACATCTGAATCTAATACTTGAGAAAGTCGAACTTTGTCCCAGTTCCCATTATCAATAAAGTCACAAACTTTAGCTTCCCAATTAATATTCTGACACTGATTAACTAGAATGAGGTGGGCAGGCGGATAAGGAAAAACCCAACGATGGATCCAAAAAAGGATGTCCCTACCATTAACCACAACCCATCTCATTCCCATGTGGATAACATGTCTACTATTTAAAATTCCTTTCTAGGCTATAGAATAGTTTTGTCTAACCTTACAACTTAAAAAATCATTATTCCTTAAGTATTTCCTTCTAACCACTTACGTCCACCAATTGTTCTCATTTTTCAGAACTTTCCAACCTAGCTTAGCCAGACAAACATTATTAAAATGATCCACTCTTCTAATTCCTAATCCCCCTTGGTCAGTAGCCATGCAAACTTTATCTCAAGCTAAAGGATAAAATTTCCTATCTCTTCCCCAGAAGAAATCCCTACATTCCTTGTTTAAATTCTTTGTTACACGAGGACACTTAAAGTAAGACATGATATGGTTAGGCATACCAGTTAGATTAGACTTAATAAGAGTTAATCTACCTGCTTAGAAAGAGTATTCGTCTTCCACCCCGCTAACTTTTGTTTCACTCTACTTAATAATTCTTGTTCATTAATTGGATCTTTCCAGAACACAATGTTATGAATACCCAGGTACTTACCAATTGTTGTTTTGTGTTGTATATGTAGGATATTGACACTTATCTGGGTTTTAGCTAATTTAGGGGTTTCTAGTAGCTTTAATTGATCCTCCAGTTAACCACAAGGCTTGAGGAATTTGTGATGCTAATCTATCTATCTATATATATAAAGTAAGAGCAACAAAATGGTTACTTAAGCAAGAGGGCACAGTATCAATCTACTGCAATTGGATAGGTTTCCAACTTTCCACAAACTGATGGTTAAATTCCAATCAAGTTGCAATATACACTTAACATTGGAGAAGGCTTTTTAACCAAAATACTCCCTGAGATTTGCATAACTCCTCAGTTTGGTCCCTAAGATTTGAAATCGATAGAATTAGTTCTTGAGTTTGTCCACAATCAATCATTTTGGTCATTCCGTGAAAAATCTCCATAAAATAAGGATAAAATGACAAAAAAAAACCCTAAATTTTTGTTAAATAATTTTAGCCTATTGTTTATTATATTGAGGGAAATTTTGTCATTTTGATCCTTATTTAACATAATTTTTCACCAAATGACCAAAATGATAGATGATGGGCAATCTCAAGGACTATAGTGAAGAGTTAGACAAATCTCAGGAACCATTTTGGCCAAAAAGTCATTGGAGAATAGGTTTTTTCCATTAAACTTCTATTGATTTCAAATCTCATAGATTATAGTGAAGAGTTAGACAAATCTCAGGAACTATTTTGGCCAAAAAGTCATTGGAGAATAGGCTTTTTCCATTAAAGTTCGAGTAATGGAACGATATTACTAAGATGACGTGGAATTTTTAGTACCTCCTTTTCTTTCACAAGAAAAGAATGAAAAAAAAAATGATAAACGATTTCTACATACTTCTTTTCACTTTTTAGATATAACTTTTTCAAGTCGTTTGATTTAAGTAAAGGAGAATTAAGGGTCAGAATTATGAAAATATAGGCAAAATAAACTGTAGAACTGTAATGGATTATCGCAAGGACAGCAATACAGACTCCGGAACTTGGCCAAAAACTTTCCGAAACTTCTTTCATAAAACGAGTTTATTATCACTGTAGCATTCCGATTCCACTGTACCGTGTGATGGGTAAGTTTATCTTCACGTGTTATGGCCTTGTTAAATTGTGATGTCACGGTTGTAATCGGCTTCGTGTAAGTATTCACAGGCTTGGAAAACAGATGAGGGATGATCAAGTAGGACATTAAGAATTCACAGGCGACATAATCAAAGCATAGAAGTGATATATATGACATAAAAGAAGCCAAAAAAAGCCATTTTTTATTCGGTATGTTCATGGCCCTACGAAATCGAATTACAAGCAGCCACACCAAATTTGTATATTTCTTCCCAGAAATCACTGTTTCAAATTATCAAACATACTGCCAATTTGTAGTAGAACCGTCTCAGAAGTCGTAACGTTACTGGTGTTGAAGAATTGCTGAAATAACTTCATTAATGTCCTGAAATTTTTTCCTCTCCTTGAGAAGTAGCTTTGCTAACTCAAGAGCTCGACGCTCACAACCCGCCCGCTTGCTGGCATCCGCTATTGACTCAAAATCTTCAACATGTGCAACTCCAACAATTCGCCTGTCAAAAACAAAAATAAAAGCATTATTATCGAAATTAATTCAACAGTTTCTTGATGCACTCTGTGTGTGTGTTTTTGTGGTGTTTGTTCTAGTAGGCCATCCTTCACCGTGGAATATTTATTTTAAGCACGGGGTTTTCTGGTCTAGAAGCTCTTCCTCTTGGTTTTAAAATGACTACCGAGTTACTAAAACTAAAATCTCATAGACGCAACGGGTAAGAAGTTAAGAGACCATGTAAGAATGGCACAAAACTACAAACAAGAAAGCAGTCTCTGCATATGGGCCATTCCAACGATTCGCAGAAGAAGATTCCAGTTAAGAATGAACGTAAATGAACGATGCATGATCCTGATTCTGAATAGATCTCATTATTAGTTTCCAATAAATTTCTTTTGTGCAAAAACATCAAATGCGAGAACTAAAGAAATATGCGGTCTGCCTTCTCACCTAATCATTTTTGCAGCACCAAATCCAAGAGTGTCATGAAGCAGATCTGTAATAAATTTCTTTTGTACAAGCTGTACAAGCTCAGGGTTGTTATAAATTGCAGGTAGATATGCGTCGCCAGAATCTTTGTTCGCATCCCATAGTGCAAGGAATTTTCTGTCGAAAAGGTTCCAAGTGTTTTCAATTGTCCTCAAAATCCAAGCCTTGTATGCCTGCATCATAAAACAAATTTCATACAAGACCATCACACCGCACCACAACTAAACACTAATAATAGCAAGTCGAACTATGAACTAGGCGGAGGTAGAGTATGGCTAGGCTGGGCTATAGCCTAAATTTTGGAATTTTAGAAAACAGCATGTAGTTTTATAAGCCAAAGTTGTCTAATTTTGAAATTAGCACAGCCTTCTATGATAAAATTAGCCTACCTCGAACACAAAAGGAAAGATAGCCCACCCATATAAACTTTCCTAGCTCCGCCCTTGGAACTATTACTCAATAACTCTCGGGTTTAACATGTTATAGAACAGACCTTATACAGTCGGAAATTATAATGAAACTACATGAAGTTTTCTTTTAGTTGCACAAACACCCCTGCTGTTGGATCATCATAAGCCAGGCACAGGCATTGGTGGGAAACCATTTTTAAATACCAATAGTAACAATAACTATATCTAAACTATCTGGCAACCAAAACAGCATCCGGAATTCCAAATACTCAAAATG